AGAGGTTTTTGCTATAGGGCGCGTGTGTTCGCCAGAAAGACAGAGAGAGACAGAGAGATAGAAAGCGAGAAATCACCCCTCGGGGGGATGGCCATGCCGCAATCCCTTCTTCATTCTTCTCTTGAGATCTTGGGCATGCACGCACACATGCCCAGCATGAGTTTAAGCTACCGGGTCCAAAAGTCGAACCATGGTCGACTTCATGGGAGTTCAGCGATATAGCCATTATTCTAACTGCTGGTCCCAAGGGATCTATGACATTTTTATCTGTCGATTTGATAGTGTCAGAAATGTGGATAGGAGATAAAAATGATGTAGACACAAGAAAACAATTCATATAACAAGTGCTACATCGAGGGCAGGAATCATCATTTACTTGATTTTGTACTTGCAACCCCAACTAATGGTGGTGCCTTGACTATAGGAGAAAAAAATGCATAGTTTGGGCCATCCAGTGGTGTCGTGGTTAAGCGACTGGATCCCAAATGGCCGACTCTGTGTTTAGAGTCCCAGAAAGACACCAGGCATGTGTACATATGTGCCCAAAATCCTGAAAGGAGAGTGAAATGGAGGAAAAGGGATTATGGCATGACAGTCCTCCACAGGGAAGTGATTTCTCACTTTCTCTCTCTCCCTCTCTTGTTCTCTCTCTCCCTGGTGAGAACATGCACCCTCTGGCAAATTAAAAAAAAAAAAAAAAGTTCTTGAGAGAAGATGTTGCTTTGGAAATAGAGAACTAGGAATCTCCTGAAGTAAAGGCTTTGTTAAAGGTCATAGGAAATCCAGCTGTCTCATTTTCTTATTGTAGGTTACCGACAAGGTCCACATCTCCAGTGGGTCCTGTGGTGCAGAGCTCAGTTCCTTTCACCAAACGTCTTGCTAGCACCTGTGGTGTGTGCCAGGTGCAGTAAGCAGAAAGACGGGGAGCAGAGCACATCATTCCTTCAAGGTGCTTACAATTCATTAGGTTCCATGGTAGTCCATTCGCTAAAGAGTACATCTTCATGAAACAAAGTCAAATTTCCTTAAAGTAGTTAAACGATGTTGTTTTGTGTCGGGAGGTAATCAGAATGAACTTTAAAAATGACTTGAAAAATGTTCATTTTTATGAAGAAAGATGGTCAGCAATAAGCAACTAATGATTATCACCTGTATGACCTTTCCGATTTTTATTTCAGTTCTCACTAGGCTCACCCGCATTTCCTAGGACTAGCAAAGAAATTTAATGACTTGATTATTTGATTAGACAAAATTTCATATGAGAATTCTGTGATTGAACTCAATTGGTTTAATTGTAATGTGTGAAGGAAATGAAACTGTGTCTTCTTCATTGCAGTTCCCTAGTTCCTTCATTCCCGCTCACTTCCTTTTTCTTGTTAAAATTGTTACTCTTTGTAAATACTCTTTCTTAAGGCTCTAGGCTGGTTTTTATAATTCTAGATAATTGAGTTGAAATTACTGTAATGAAATGAGTCAGTTCAGAGACTTACACTTACAAGTTTAAAAAAAAAAATACAGCCAGAGTCATTAGAAATAAATCTAGAGATAAAATTTAAAACGGAAAAGAAAGAAAAATCTAGATCATTTACTTGTCCTGCTTTTACATTTGTAATGACTCGTTTTTCCTCTCAGGATTCCTTGTGGATTTTTTCACCTCTCTTGACCAAAGCAGTCTGTGTACAGAAACATGCTGTATATGTTAAATACCTCAAACTAGGTATTTTCTCTGAATTTCTACATTTTATTTTATTTTGAACTAGTCAGAAATAAAAATTAGTAAAACACTTTAAGTCTCGCCCTCCCTCTCTAATCCACAAGATGTCACCCCCTCATCCTTTCTGTATTTCCTTTTCGTCTCTTACAGATTTTATTCTTGTACTGCCCACTGACGTATTTCTCTTGCTGCTTCTTGGTAATCAACCTGAGTTATAGACTTTGAGAAAGTAAATCATGGGTTTCCCTCAGAAGTATTGTTTCATGGTAGAATTAAACTATGACTGACAGATGTCATTTTGAGATCATCGGATACTGATTATTTCCAGTAAAATGTCCAATGCAGTACTCTGGATTCAGATTCAAAGCAGAATCTATGCTGTGATTATTTCTAAAGTTTTATTTTTAAAAGATTAGAAACACACAAACATAATTTATTTGGACTTGTTCTGTAGCCTAGTGGTTAAGGGAGCTGGATCCTACATGGCTGACTGGAGGCCCCGGAGGCTGGATTTGAACTGGGTATGTGTGTGTGCATGCCCCAGATCTCAATAGGATGAGAAATTGAGGAGAAGGGGTTGCAACATGACTGTACTCCATCAGGGGTGCTTTCTCCTTCTCCCTTTCTCTGTCTTTCTATTAGAGCAAGCAAGCAACCTCTGGCAATCTTTTTCTTTTCTTTCTTTTCTTTTTCTTTTTTCTTTTTTTGCTATAAGGTGATGCATTCACCAGAGAGAAAACAGAGAAAAGGCAAGAAATTCTCCACCCTCCACCCCCCATTGCCCCAGGGGAACTAACTGTGCCACAGTCTCTCCTCTGTTGTCCTCTCAGGACCTGGGCATGCACATGCATCCAGCATGTTTTTCAAGACACAGGATCCAAGATTCCAACTGCAGAGTGGGCCATGTGGGATCCTGTGCCTCAGCTGCCATGTTACTTCCTGACCCCTTCTGGCAAAATATTTCTAAAAAAGAAATTATAGTTGCTTTAGATGTAAAGGTCCATATTTGCATGTACTTGAGCATTCTGATCTGGGTCTATATTACCTTTAATACCATTATTCTTTTATCATTGACTTCTTTAATGAGATAATGTCAATTTTTGGAGTTAACTGAACTTAGATTAGATTGCTGACTCTACTATCCACTAACTTATTGTATTAGTTTCCATTCTGGGGACCATTAGTGCAAAATAAAAGAATCAGCAGGATCAGATTCCCACAGAGCTAAGACTCTTCTTTACTTCTTAGCTTCTGGTGGTTGCCAGTAATCCTTGGCTTTCTTTGCACTAATTCCAAAGGCCAGAGGGGTATTATTGTTTAGTATCTGCAAGGATATTAACGTGGATTTTATTTTTTGAAAGATTTTTGCCATAGGGCACATGTGCTTGCCAGAGAGAAAGTGAAAAATCACCCCCAGAGGGGATGACCACATCACAATCCCTCCTCCTCCATTCTCCTCTTGGGATTTTGGGCACCCCGCACACGTGCCCAGTGTGAGTTTTTGTTTGTTTGTTTGGAGAGCTTTTTGCTATAGGGCACGTGTGCTTGCCAGAAGGACAGAGAGAGACAGACAGAGAGACAGAAAGCGAGAAATCACCCCCCAGGGAGATGGCCATGCCACAATCCCTTCTCTTCCATTCTCCTCTTGGGGTCTTGGCATGCACACACAGGCGCCCGCAGCGTGAGTTTTAAACTGCTGAGTCCAGGACTCAAACTGCAGTCAACTATATGGGAGTCCAGCAATGTAAGCATTATGCCATCTGCTGGTCCCTTTTAATGTGGATTTTAAGATAAGTAATACATTGGGTCATTGGACAAGTTATGACATCATGACATATTTTTCTATATTTTTCTTTTTCTTTTCTCCTTTTTTTTTTTTAGAGGTGTTTGTTTTAGGGTGCAAGCACTTGCTGGAGAGAAAGACACAGTGAAAGGCAAAGTGAGAAATCACCTCTGGGGGAAATGGCCATATTGAGATCCCATCTCCTCCATCTTTCTCCTGGGATCTTAGCATGCAGGCACACATGCCTAGCAGGTTTCCTTTCTTTTTTTTGGGGGGGTAGAGATTTTTGCCATAGGGCATGCACACTCACTGGAGAGAGACAGAGACAGTGAGACAGTGAGAAGGAAAATGAGAAGTCACTCCCCAGGAGGAGGCCCATGCCGCACTTGCTTTTCCTCCATTCCCCTCCTTGGATCTTAGGCATGCATGCACACGCACCCAGTATATTTTCAAGCCACGGGGTCCAGGACTCGAACTGCGGTCAGCCATGTGGGAATCCAGTGATGTAACCATTATGCCATCTGCTGGTCCCAACCCAGCATGATTTTCAAGTCACCGTATCCAGGACTTGAACCATGGTCAGCCATATGGAAGGTCAGCAACATAACTGCTACACCATCTGCTGACCCCGTATGTTTTTCCATGCAAAAACGTGTCTTAGCTTTTCTGACAATTCAATAGTACTCAGAAATTCTTTATGCTCTAGGAAAGTATGGTGTATTATAGAAATAAAGAAATAAAATTGCAGTAGTCTCATAAAATATAAAAGTTGAACTTCACTGTGAGATTTCCGTATTAAAGCAGAGGAATGTTATATTTAAAAAAGAACTTAAAGAATGTATTACATGATACTACAACTAAACAGTATGAGATAGGTAGCTTTTTTGGCATAGCTAGTTACTGAGTTATATTTCAAGGAACATATTTAGTGCAATACCATGAATTTAGATTCAAGAAGATATAAAAACTAATTTTATTTAAAAATGGATGAAACAAAAACCATGATTTGGATATTGGAGTCTCTAAAACACAGCTAGAACTGGCAGTGATGAATCAGGTGATAACCAGATTTCCTTTTCTACTGGTCTTGTTCAAACAGAACCATAAAATAGCTATGATATTACTCACCCAACACGAGCAGGAAATCAGTACTGTATTTACATTTATCTCTGTTCTCACACACAAAAGCAAATACAAAGTAAGTGGTTTACAACTTAAGTTTTGTTTACCTATTTTTAATCCTTTGGTCTTTAGATTTGCTTGAAACTGTAGAAGAAATCCTTCCAGACCTCCCAGAAGACATCAGTGTGTGGGCGATGAAGGATTCTGTCCCACAAGGAGTCATTTCACTCAAACAGAAACTGTGTACATCATCCGACGAGCCTGTGCCACGCAGCTACCACATTGCCTCAAGCCTTAAGTCTACCTGTCTTTATATTTTTACCTCTGGAACAACAGGTATGATCCAATTTTCCTTAAGACTTAAAAGAATGCAACACGTTTGGAAAGCAACCCTGTAGGGCAGCTTTCTGCCTGATCAAATGTCTGAGAAAGCATGCACGCAAAAAGGCCTAAGGGGGACCTGCAGTTGGAGTAATGGCTATGTCGCTGCATTCCCACGTAGTCAACCGCAGTTCATGGCTTAAACTCACGTCGGGCACGTGTGCGTACGTGCCCAAGATCCCGAGAGGAGAATGGAGGAGAAGGGATTGCAGCGTGTCCATCCCCCCTGGAGGGTGATTTCTCACTTTCTGTCTCTCTGTCTCTCTGTCTCTCTCTGTCTTTCTGGTGAGCACATGCACCCTATAGCACAAACCTCTCAGAAAAAAGAAAAAAAAAAAAAAAAGAAGGCCTAAGGTGCACAGACCCTAGTTAGTTGATTTATCAGAAAGATCTTACTAAAGCTTGATGATACAAAGGGCGCCGAAATGTCGAAGACCCTTACCAGCCCTGTCACTCACTGTGCAATGTCAGGCCTCAGGGCAAGCTCTTTGCTTGTTTGTCTAATCCCCGGATTCTTGATATCTAAATAGAGTCCAGTTTAAATCGACTTCAGTCAAGACTGCACGTAAGTTTCAGCCTCTGGGGTGAACCTGTGCCAGTCACCACACTCAGTCCTCTCCTATTCCAAAATGCCTTCATCTCCAGTCTGATTCTTCTTGTCTCAGGGTCTGTTTGTGTGTTCAATCTGCCAACCTCTAGTGCTGCTATTACTCACTGGGCTTGATTAGGCCGCTACACAGATCTCTAGGGAGAGGCTGCCTGAGCAGGACAGGACAGCCACACGTTCACCAGAAAGCAGACGGAGGAGGAAGTGAGGTCGCTGCCTGCTCTGCTGTGCCTGAAGCCAGTTGCTGTAACCGTCTGATGATTTCCTTTGTCCCTCCTTCTTGACCTTATGGGTTCCTTCTTTCTGTCTGATATCATCCCAGTATTCCAAAAATGACTCAAAACATGCTCCTGCCGTCAACCTGTTACATTCCGTTTTGAATGGACGGATGCATCACACTGACATTACAAATACAGAAGACTACACCAATGTGGAAAATATGGCGGCTACAAATGCTAAATAATAAAGCAGTATGCAAACATTTCTTTTTTTCTTTTATTTTTTGTTTGCCAGAGCACATGTATGCTTGCAAGAGAGAGAGAAAGAGACACAGAGAGAGAGAGAGAGAGAGAAAATGCACCTCCCTATGGGGCGTGGTCACCCTGCAATACATCTTTCTCCATTTCCTAATCTGTCAGGATTTGGGGTGCACACAGTTTTTCAGAGCCTGGACTTGAACGTCAACTGGCCATGTAGGCTCAGGCTCCCTATGTACAGTGTGTCAATCACTGCACTATGTGGCTGGCCTGCAGGGGGTTTTATTTTTTTTTTTTTTTCTTTTTTTTTTTTTTTAGTTTGCAATAGGGAACGTGCACTTGCCAGAGAGAGAGAGGAAGTGAGAAATCACACCCAAGGGGTGGGTGGCCACACCGTAATTCCTTCTCCCTTCTCCCCTCGGGATTTGGGGCACATACATTCATACCCAGTGTGATTTTTAAGCCATCAGGTCCAGGACTGGAACCACCTAGCCGGCCATGTGTGATACAGTCGCCTTAATCTCCATGCCACTGCTGGCCCTCTGCAAACATTTTATGCACTAATTACAACGGCAAATTTTATAAGAAACTTATTGTTCACAGAAGACTAGGAGGAAAAGAAAACTAATTATGTCTGGCTTAAGCATGCAATGATTTCAGCAGCACGTATCATGGAATCTAACCTGATGGTCCCAGCCCAGGCCATGGTAAACACAACAGGACGAACGGCTCATAATTCCTACCTGGAGTTGGAATTGTTCACTGGAGCATTTCTATCAGGTCGTTGAAAAAGGCATGATGTATCTTTCTATGTTTTTCTATGCACAAATGCTTCAGAACTTTCCCAATGACCTAATACTTCACAGAGAGCATGTAGATTTATAATGTGATTTGTCTCATTTCGGTGCATTATCTCAACTTTTGACATTTTGTCATTCTTATAGTAGATAAGGCTCTTTGAGGTAGGATCTTGATCTCTCTGTAATTTTGTAGTTTTGTTATTTCTGGATAGATCCAAGATTCTAAAAAATTAATTGCAGCAGTAGTTCACATTTGTGCAGCCTCTTTTATAAGATATCTCGGACATTTTGATATATTTCATTTTAATTGCTGGTGTAGTTGTTATCAACTACTATTATTAGCGTGACTTTCATTTCTATTACATGTGTTTGTGTGTGTGTGTGTTTATATGTTTTTCCATTTTATTTTCTTCCAGGTCTACCGAAAGCAGCTGTGATCAGTCAGCTGCAGGCTTTAAAGGGTTCTGCTGGACTGTGGGCTTTTGGCTGTACTGCCGATGACATCATTTATATAACCCTTCCTCTGTATCACAGTTCAGGGTCTCTCTTGGGAATTTGTGGATGTGTTAAGTTGGGTAAGTTTTAATTTTCTTATTGATAAATTTTCACAATTTAAAAATTAAAATTATGTTTATTTATTCATTTGTTTATTTAGAGATTTTTGCTATAGGGTGCAAGTGTTTGCCAGAGAGACAGAGAGATAGAGAGACAGAAAGTGAGAAATCTCCTCCAGGAGGATGGTCATACCACAATCCCTTCACCTCCATTCTCCTCTCAGGATTTTAGGCATGCACGCACACACCCCCAGCATGAGTTTCAGGTTGCCACGTCCAGAACTCAAACTACGGTCCACCATGTGGGAATCCAGTGACGTAACCTTTACCCCATCTGCTGCTCCCTAGAATTGTGTTTATTAAATTTTGAAACTCTATGAGTAAATTCAGAGTGGTTGCATGCATATTATATAACATAATGTTTATAGAAAGGATACCATTTGTGGGCCTGCTCAGTGTATTCCTGAAGTAGAAAAAACAGTGCCCTGGTGGTTCGACCATGTGGTTGAAGCTGGCTACTGCCTCAGCTTAATCTGTCTTTATGGCCATTCGTCCTCTGGTGGTGCACCCCGATCCCTTCAGTGGAGGTCGGAGTGTTCCAAGGGGTGACTGTGGAACCTGCTTACCTCTTAAGGTCCACTCTTAGAAGTTCCATCGATTATTTCACCTTCATTCTAGTGATCAAATAGCAGGCCAGCCAGATTAAAGATTTGAGGGGCGGGGAAATAGATCTCACCTTAGGAAGGAAGTGCAACAAATTCACATTGCAAGGCTAAGTGCTTGGAAGAATCATCAAGGCCGTCTTTGCAAACAATCTGCCTGGACACATAGCAAATCAGTTGGTAGAACTGTGATTCTGCAGATTCCATTCATACACCTGTGTGATTATGTGTCTGATCTAGTCCGAAAATAATCTATAGGAATCATTCACTGCTACTTTATGTATCTAAAACATAATAAAATGATTTTTAGAATAGCATATTTATAATGTAACTATTCATAATAAATCATGATAAAGATCAAGACATTAAATGTTCTGTGGAATATGTTCATATGACCTACTGTCAAAATGGGTTGATTAAAATTAGTTTCTTTAGTAACATATGAGCTTTTTTGATGTTTTTTTTTTTTTTTTTTTTTTTTTTTTTTTTTTTTTTAAGACGGGCTCTCTCTGTCCACCTGGGACTACATGTGCACACCATCATGCCTGACTCTTTGTTCTTAGACAGGATTTCATTTTGGTACCCTCGACCAGCCTCATGCTCACAATCATCTTGTCTCAGCCTTTCTGAGACTCTGGGATTACAAGTGCATACTCCGTACTCAGCCTCCTGGTTGGACCAGGAATCAAATATGGACCTCTCATGTGGTCCCAGCCTGTGGCAGGTGGTGTCTTAGCCATGCACACTACCATGGCCGGGCCAATGTTCTTTGATACCTCTGTCTTACTGACTCTTAACCTCAAGATATGATGAGGCTACTTTAAAGTTTTAATGATAAATAATGCATATATATTCAAGGGAAAAATAATTGTACGTGAAGAAGGATGACCTGGGCCAGCCTGGTAGCCTTGTGGTTAAGAGAACTCGACCCCCATGGCCAACCAAGGCTTGAATACTGGCCCCAGTAGCTTGAAAACCACACCAGACACATGTATATGCAGTCCCCAGATTCCAACAGGATGGAGTATTGGAGGAGAGGAGAGGAGTTTGCAACATGACCACACTGCAATTGAGGATGCTTTCTCTCTTTCCTTCTTTTTTTCTCTGATGAGCACAAGTGCCCTCTGACAATTAAAAATTATATTTGAAAAGACAAATGGCCCTTATTTATGGTCCTAATATAATACTCGTAACTCTCACACTTATTTTGACTGTTGTAATCCTACATGTTGCAAAAAGTGTATTTGCAGTTAGAATAGAGAATCAAAACATGCATATTTTAAAAACAATAAGTGAACCATAAGGTCAATGTTTTCAAATGAGCGTTATGTAAATGGTTGATGATGAATTAGGAAAGCCTTGAAAGTGAGCAAAAATGGTTTAAAGAGAGCAGCAGCATTTGTATTTTATGTTAATTCTGCCCTTGACGTTTTTCACCTTTTTCCTAGGTGCTACCTGTGTGTTAAAAAAGAAATTCTCAGCAAGCCAATTTTGGAATGATTGCAAGAAGTATAATGTGACTGTGTTTCAATATATTGGAGAACTTTGTCGCTACATTTGCAAACAACCTAAGGTAATATACGTAATCATAGTAGGAGATAAAAATTATTTTAGAAAGAATAGTGAGAGAGAGAATGTAATTTTTATTTCTTTGTTTATACTCCACGTTCTTCCAAAACATAATTTAGCTGACTTACAAAGATGCGTGCAAGGGAACCAGCAGTTAGCGTAATGGCTATGTCGCTGGACTCCCACGTAGTCGGCCGCAGTTCGTGTCCCGGACCCGGTGGCTTAAAACTCACGCCGGGCGCGTGTGCGTGCGTGCCCAAGATCCCGAGAGGAGAACGGAGGAGAAGGGATTGTGGTGTGGCCATCCCCCCTGGGGGGTGATTTCTCGCTTTCTGTCTCTATGTCTCTCTCTGTCTGTCTGGCGAGCGCACGCGCCCTACAGTGAAAATCTCTCCAAAAAAAAAAAAAAAAAAAAAAAGATGCGTGCAATACCCCAAGATAAAATCAATAAAGGAAGTGAGAGAAGATAAAAGTTATCCAGGTATAGGCTATTGTAGCAAGATAGGACAGATCCATAATCCAGTCCACTTCATGTTTAGGCTGATTAAAACTTCCATAAACAGCATGCCTCAGGTTATAAAATTAGGTGCATTCTGTGTTTACAGACTGCAATCATTTTAAGGTTAAATATAATCTTTTTAAATGCTATTTTTGGGGACCAGCAGCTGGCATGTTGGTTATGTTGCTGGACTCCCATGTAGTCAACCGCGGTTCGAGTCCCAGATCCGGTGGCTTAAACTCATGCCAGGCGTGTGTGCATGCATGCTCAAGATCCCGAGAGGAAAATGGAGGAGAAGGGATTGCGGCATAGCCATCCTCCCAGGGGATGATTTCTCTCTTTCTGTCTCTCTTTCTCTCTCTGTCTTTCTGGTGAGCACATGTGTCCTATAGCGAAAACTCCTCCAAAAAAAAAAAATGCTATTCTTAAAATCTAATGACACTGATAACGCTTGTTATTTTTTGTTGTTGTTTTAAATAAGTGATTACACTAGAATATCTTTTTGTTTTGTTTTACTTTAAATTTAAAAAGCAATTTTGCTTTAATTAGCACTGACTCTCCACTCAAAGCAGAATGTGGAAATGCCCATATCCTTTTGATCAATTGCTTCTATTTGCTGAATAAACAGACAGCAAGAGTTTTGGTTGCTCAGCTTGTCTTTATTGATTTGTTTTAATTTTTTCCCCTGCTTGTATTTGTCTTTCCAAATGCTCTTTCTTTCTTTCTTCCTTCCTCCCTCCCTCCCTCCCTCCCTCTCTCTCTCTCTCTCTTTCTTTCTTTCTTTCTTTCTTTCTTTTTTCATGTTCTGGGTTTTTAAACATTCTTGAGGCTACAGAGAAGTGACTGTTTCTCTAATTAAATCAACACAAGCCCCTTCAAGGACTGCAGTAGAGGATGCCTTCCCACACTGGATGGGGCAGCAGAAACTGGGCCTTCCCATGCACTTTCCTCAGGCTAGAAAGTCTCTCACACTCGTCACCCTTGGCGACATCACACACACTCAATTCATGGATGGTAGGCTGAGATATCTTCTCTTGCTCCTGCTGACTAAAATATTAATGCACATATTATATATTATAACATATTATATATTGTGTTATATATTAATAACAACATCAGCTCCTGCAAGGTCATTTGCTTAGCATTTCTTGAATGGGCTTACTTTTTTCTAAAATGTTACTATCTTGGGGCCAGCAGATGGCACAATTGTTACGTTGTGAGACTCCCACGTAGTTGACTGAGGTTCAAGTCCTGGACCTGGCAACTTAAAACTCACTCTGGGCCTGTGTGTGTGTGTGTGTGTGTGTGTGTGTGTGTGTGTGCCCAAAATCCCAAGAAGAGAATGGAGGAGAAGGGATGCATGCACCTTATAGCAAAAATCTCTCTCTCAAAAAAAATTATCATCTTAAATAATGCTGCAGTGGGGTCAGCAGATGGCCTAACGATTAATGCACTGAACTCCCAGATGGCTAACTGCAGTGTGAGTCCTGGATGTGGCATGTGTGCATGCCCAAAAAAATCCCAAGAGGAGAATGGAGGAGGAGAGATTGTAGCATGTGGTGATTTCTTGCTTTCTCTCTCTGTCTCTCTCTGTGTCTCTGGCAAGTGCATGTGTCCAATAGCAAAAATCTCTCAAAAAATAAACAGATAAATAAAATAATGTTGCATTTAGTATCTTTATGCAACATAGCCACTTTAGGGCCTCAGAACTGAATGTAAATAGTCAAAAAGTATGGTTATGAGATTTTTATGACATCTTTCCAAATTGCTGGTCAAAGTGAGTGAAGTAATTTAGAATCCCTTTCCCACATTTAGAATTCTATATTTAGAATTGCACAATCCTTTATCAGTGGTGGTGTCACTAAACATAGTAACTTTCCACTTGTACTTCATGGAGAATTAGAAGCTTCTTCAGGCTCCATCGAAAGTCCCTGAAGGGCACTTTCATAGTAGTGTGCTGGTAAAGAAGTTGCAGTTCCTCAGGCTGAGGACACATGGTAGGCCCTAGTTTGATTCCTGGCCCACCCAAACATTTGGGCCCAGTAGTGTATGCCTGTAGTCCCAGCTACTCTGGGGGCTTAAACAGAAGGGTTATAAGACAAAGATACTAGTTTCACACACACACAAAAAAAATCCCTGGGGGCCAGCAGGTGGCATAGTGGCTAAGGTGTTGAACTCTCACATGTTCAGCTGTGGTTCAAGTCCCAGACCCAGTGGCTTGAAACTCATACTGGGTGCATGTGTGCTCAAAATTCTGAGAGGAGAATGGAGGAGAAGGACTGAGACATGACCATCACCTCTGGGGGGTGATTTCTTACTTTCTGTATCTCTGTCTCTAGTGAGTGCATGCACCCTACAGCAAAAATTTCCTCTCTCAAAAAAAAAAAAAAAAAAAGAGTAGAGAAAAAGCAAACCAATCTCCGTAGCCATAGCCCATCCTATCAAATATGACCTATGGAACCCAATTTGCCTCGGCTTTTCGATAATATTTTGTTTGAACAATGTAAACCTAAGTTTTTTATAATTAAGGAAAAGATTAATATTATTTATAATTCTATAGACTAGAAATGGAAATATATTTTTAATATATTAAAATTACTGTTAAGATTGCTGACAAGATGAATAATTTTCTAGCTGTATTTCACTTTTAAAATATCTCTCTGAGTCATTTACTCCCTTATCACCCTGACACATAATGTCTTATCGTAAACGTTTGAACTCTTATTCCGGGTAATAAAGGTATTAAGTTTGTTATATTGGCTACAAATCTGTTTCTCAGGCTGTTTTCCTTTGAAATTTTTATGAAATGAAATATCCTTTTACCTGTCTGAGTTTGTATGACGCTAATTTGGGGAAAATAATATTGCTATAGAGAATTTGAGTGAACTGGGAATTAAAAACAGAATCCTCACTGCCGTTATGTAATTTCATATTTTAATTACTAGCTAAAATCTCTTTGAATAAAATATGATATTGTAAAATAATCTTTAAAGACCTAATTGAATGCACACTGAGAAAGGAGATAGGGTCAGGGTGTGAGCAAGTCCATGGTCCTCATCTCCAAGAATTCAGATAGAATGAGGCCAGCAGCTGGAGTAATAATTAAGGTGCTGGACTTCCACATGGCTGACTGCAGTTCAAGTCCTGGACCTGGCTGCTTGAAACTCATAGTGGATGCATATGTTTATATGCCCAAAATCCCAGTAGGAGAATGGAAAAGGGATTACACTGTGGCCGTATCCCTGGGCAGGGGGGTGATTTCTCAATTTCCCTCCCAGTATCTCTCTCTGTCTCTCTCTCAGGTGAGTGCATCTGCTCTATGGCAAAAACCTTCAAAGAAAATTTAAGATAGATGTCTTTTAAGCTATGGTTTGAAGCCTCGTGGACATTTATCTGAAAGACACCCTTACATAAAAGAAAGCAAATCATTTGTTTTCTAAACAAATCCAGATTTGTTGTCAATCTCAAGCTAAGGTAGAATAACCAGGCAAAGGCACTGTCTGAATTGAAAATTTATGTGGAAATTCTTAAAAACTCTCTAGGATTGACTTTCTCTGCCTGGAAAATTTTATCCAGTCCCACCTCCTAGTCCCCATCTTTATTTTCTCTTTCAGAAGTCCAGGTACAAAACTTCCTTGGGCATAAACACTGGATGTGCCTCTTTAAAATTGCTGGCAGCAGCGTTACCCTTAAAGACCAGAGGGAATGGCTCCTTTTATTCTCCCTCCCTGAGAAAAGGCAGGCAACTCCCCCCCCTCCCCCCCCCCCATTCCCCGCCATCTTTAAGTGTTCTATGTTACTCAAGCCCCATCATAGGCTTTCTGACTGAATCTAAGTAGACCTCTGTTTTCTTAACATTAATACTTGGGTGAGGATTGTGCTGGAACTGAGAACATCAGCGATCCCTGGGGGAGTTGTGCTGCAGAGTTTGTTTTATTTAACATCCACACCTGGAGAAAATCTAGAGATAAATCTGAAGAGAAAGAGAGTGTGGCTGGGCCTACTGTCAAGCAGATCTTTGTAGATCTTGGAAAGGAGATTTAGCATATTTGACAAGAGGAAGTGAGAACTTGAAAAAAATGCCACGCCACACTGGGATCTAAAACAAAGAAAAACCAACCAGACCTTATTTGATCAGAGACAGGGAGTAAAGGAAGAGGGAAAATTGAGGACAAGTCCCAGCTTTTTGGTTCCAAGATGTAGGTAAATTGCAAACTAAGGAAAACTGCGATTTGAGAAATGAAAATTAAATTTCTTTTGGACTTGTTAAGTGTGATATGCTAATTGTGCTCCTAGGGAAGAAATAGGTTAGGCTGCTGGGTGTTGGCATCGGGACATGAAGAAAACAGCAGTCAGGACTTAACAAACAAGGGCCTATATAATGGTGCATGTGGATAATGTCTATTTTTCAAGTTAACATTTGTAGTCTAACATTTAGGCTATATAATTTGTCTAAAGCTCAGTATACAAACACATACTGACACTCTCAAGATATGGCAGGTATT